CGGCAGCTGAGCCGATTGTCCGCCGGGTGCCGCAGCCACGGGCGCTTTGACAATGGCCTGGCGGACAATCGGCTCGGCTGCCGGGTTGCCGAGTCGCCGGGCCGCCAGATACCGGGAGGAAAAATATGGCATTTTCTTACTTATTTTTCAGGCTGTTTTCGCATATTTTTTGTAACAAAAAGTTCCAAATTTCTCTCGTGCATATGAACTCCTGGATTCCTAGTTCACACGTTAGCACTTGATGTTATTTTCACGAGATTTGCCATGAAAATGAGTGTGATCTGGTTCAAGCATTCTCAGGCTGAGCGCGCCTGAGCTCGTAGCTCCAACGGCGCAGGGCCCTCATATACAGGAGTGAACTCGTCGACCCAGCGCCAGTCCGACGGGCTGTTGAAAACGTCAATTAGGGCGCGTGACGAGAGCGACCTGACGCAGAACACACCTCACGCCATTCAACCGCATGTCGTACCGGCGGAAGAGGCTCGCGAAGACGAGATACATCTCGCAATGCGCAAGGCTACGAATATTCAGCAAAAAGTTTGATTAGGACTTGATGCACTAACGCCACGCACTTGATTCCAACGCAGCTCCGTGGGCCCTTGCCGAAGGCGACGAGCCAGTTATCCAGCGAGCCTGCGGATGGTTCGAGCCATCGTTCGGGCCTGAACGCGTGTGGCTCGGGGAAGATCTCCTCGTTTGTGTGGATGAATATGTTGCTCATGCTCACGACGGTCTGAAGTAGGCGTATCAGTCCTACGGTGATATGAACGGGAGAGGAAGTAGCGCACCCCGCCTGGGATAAATTCTCCAGAAATTACGGAACCCTCTTGTGGGACGACACGGGTTAGCGGGGTGACCACACCATGTGAGACCCTGAGCGACTCTTTCACGACGGCCCGCTGTCCGGGCGACGCTGTCAGAAATGTCCATATTTAACAAGGGCTAACACTACGCACCAAATAAGGCAGACTTTCCAATGTTTCGCAACGCGGCTTGTCATCGAGCCTCGGCCAAGCTTCGAGCAGCTCCTTCATCAGCTTGGTATACACCTGCGGGTCTCCGAGGACGTGGAGCGTGCCAACGCTGAGGGCGTTACTGCTGGTGTCTGTGCCTGCGAACAGGTAGAGGAAGCCTTCGTCGAGGAGAACCTCTTCCGTCAAGATTGACTGGTCCTTAGCTTTCATGAGCTCATGGAATACAGTGGGATGGTCACTATCGACTAGGGGATTGTGGGTTGGCAAAGATCTTCTGAATTTGCGTGGCTAACATCTTGAGCACAGGTAAATATTCAGTACTAAACGAGCTCACGTCGTCGCACGTACCTTGCCTACTTCCAGATACCCTTCTGAGTACGGGAGTAGATACCTGGCCAAGCTTGGCGGTAGACTGCGTAGGAGCGTCTTTGTGAGGGGAATGTGTTTAGCGAAGCGTCGGCTTGAGAGCGCTGCGCCTAAGGCATGCTCAACTGGACTGCGAAACTCCGGCGCACTAAGTGCATTGGTTGTACGGCCAAAACAGAACGAGCAAATGGTGTCCAATGTGCAGCACCTGAAAGCACGTCGGAAGTTGACTGATTTCTTGTTCGCGATGTGATCGTCGATATTGACGCACATTCTGTCGACCTAGATAGTTCAATCAATACCATTAGCTGGTGAAGACGACGTAAAAAACAACGTACGCATTCTTGGACAAGGCTTTGCACCTCGAGGATCGATTTGCGGGAGAAGAGGTTCATTGTGAAATCCCTGCGTTTCTTGGCACTCTCATAGTCTAGAAGCGTGAACGTCGATCGCGAGCTAGTATCTACATAAGCGTCATACAGATGGGAGTCCTTTGACCACCGGTTTCGCGAACTATATATCTCATGATATGCTGAAGGTCGAGAGAAATGGAGCTTCGTGAACCCCTAGGTAAGAACAGCACACGCCCATATTGAATCGTTTGTCTCACCTGGTTGGGACCAATGCGGACAATGTTACCTAGATACAAAACGAGTCAGGAATACACAGGATGTTCGAGCGGGTGTTGGCTTACCATAAGTTGCATGTAGCTCTACAAGCTTCAAGCTCAGACTACCTTTCTCCCAGACGTCAAAATAAGCCTGCCACCAGAGAGATGCCACTGCAAGCTTCGGTCCCGGGAAGCGAGAAAGAGGATGTAAATATACATTGTATACGGCTTTCAAGAGTGAATAGAGGCACACACAGGCAACTGCCCATGGTGCGTACGCTCGCAGGGTGGAGAGAAAGTCTGTCTTCGCAAATATGGTCGCCATGAATGATGTAGGCTGGCTCAAGGATGACGGTATATCTTCCTCAGCCTTTATACAAGGATGGGCGGCAGGAGGGGTCTTCTTTAGTAGCACATTTCCCCATCGATATCAAAGAAGGGAGATTCAAGGGGTTTGGAACACACGTACTCCAGCAGCTGACAACTAAGCCGTCTCCACATTCACGTCTGATAGAAAGGCCCTAGTAGAAGTACGCGCGCACTTGGTATACGAACAATTTAACAAGCAGATGGATCTGAGAAGCCGATCGTCACGTTGAAATTTTGACTCGACAGGCTCGTGTAGAGTGCGGTACTATACTATGGCCGTCCTGCGAACCGGATGCTGGGATCTGAGGGGGGGTATAGTCGTCGCCGAAGATAACAGAGTCCAACCAAGGCGCTCGGCTCGACTCTCTCGACGCGCTCAGCCGGTGCTCAAGCGCTCACGGCTCACACAGATTCCGAGATGGCTCGTGTTAACTGGGGTCTCTCTGACGACCTTGAGACCAAGTCTGACCCAGATGGCATGAGAAATATTGCGAGTGACTCAGCAGTCACTCGCAGTATTAACGGCCACCCTTCTAGACAGATAGATAGTGAGACCACGTCGCTGAGAACGCCCATCCATCTTCCCTTCCTACTAGGTCACTCGGTGGTGGGTGGGTCTTCTCAGCAACGGTCAAGCCCCGGAGTGTTAATGTCGATCAAGTAAGGCCTAGCCTTTGAGATCAATGGTCTCTTCCAGACCTCGCGTTTGCCCACGGGCCCGGCAAGATAGCTGGTGACGAAAGCTCTTCTTAACTATAACCATTACGCATGCCATCATACAGGTCCTAATTTACAATATCGGTACCTGATATTGATCTCGTGAAATACGCCATGAACGTGAGCAATCTCTTTCAAGCACTCTCAGGTCAACCGTGCCTGAGCCCATAGCTCCAGCGGCGCGGAGCCACTGTACACAGGCAAAAAGTGGTCGACCCAGCGCCAGTCCGACGGGCTGTTGAGGGCGTCGATTAGGGCGGGCGATGAAAGTGATTTACTGCAGGACGCACCTCACGCCGTTCAGCCGCATGTCATACCGGCGGAACAGGTTCGCGAAGGCGAGATACATCTCGCAATACGCAAGGCTAGGAATACTCAGCGAAGAGCTTTAGGAACTGATGCACTGACGCCACGCACTTGATTCCGATGCAGCTCCGCGGACCCTTGCTGAAGGAGACGAGCCAGTTGTCGAGCGAGCCTGCGGCCGGGTCGAGCCACCGTTCGGGTTTGAACGCATGTGGCTCGGGGAAGATCTCCTCGTTCGTGTGGACGAGCACATTGCTCATGCTCACAACGGTCTGGAAGAGATGTATTGGCTCGACGAAAAGGTGAGAGAATGAATGCAGCGTACTCCGCCTGGAATGAATTTTCCAGAGATCACAGCACCGTCTGATGGGACGACGCGGGTCAGCGGGGTGACTACGCCATGTGAGACCCTGAGCGACTCCTTCACGACAGCCCGCTGTCCGGGCGGCGAAATCAGAGATGATCATACTTACCAAGGGTCAACACTACTCACCAGATAAGGCAGGCTCTCCAACGTTTCGTAGCGGAGTCTGTCGTCGAGTCTCGGCCAAGCTTCGAGCAGCTCGTTCATCAGCTTGGCATACACCTGTGGATCGCCGAGGACGTGAAGCGTGCCAACGCTGAGGGCGTTACTGCTGGTATCTGTGCCTGCAAACAAAAAGAGGAATCCTTCGTCGAGGAAGGCCTCCTCCGTCAAAATTGACTGGTCCTTGGCTTTCATGAGTTCATGATATACGGTGGGGTGGTCACTATTGGCCAAGGATTGCGGATTCGCGAAGATCTCCCGAATTTGCGTGCTCAATATCTGCAGCACAAGTGAATGCTCAGTGTACACTGACGGAGCTGGCGTCATAGCACATACCTTGACCACTTCCAGGTATCCTTCTGAATATGGTTGTAAATACCTGAACAAGCTCGGCGGTAGAATACGTAGAAACGTCATGAGGAAGGGAATGTGTTTGGCGAGGCGTCTAATAGGGAGTGTCGTGCCTAGGGCATGCTCGATCGGACTGCGAAATTCCGGTGCGCCGAGTGCATGAGTTGTCCGGCCAAAACAGAGCGAGCAGATGGAGTCCAATGTGCAGCATCTAAAAGCACGTCGAAAGTGGACTGGTCTCTTGTTCGCGATATGGTCGTCGATGTTGGCACACATTCCGTCAACCTAGACAGTTCAATCAAGGTCATTGGCTGATGAAGACGAGACGGACGACGCACACATTCTTGGACAAGGTTTTGCATGGCAATAATTGATTTGCGAGAGAAGATGTTCGTCGTGAGCTCGCTGCGCTTCTTAGCGCTCTCATAGTCCAAAATTGAGAACATCGACCGCGATTTGGTGTCTACAAAGGCGTCATACAGGTAGGACCCTTTCGACCACCGGTTTCTTGAGTTATATATTTCGTGGAATGCTGATGGTCGAGAGAAATGGAGCTTGGTGCAAAGTTGTTAGTAGTAGCACGGATCCGTCTTGAATTATCTATCTCACCTCGTTAGGGCCAATGCGGACGATCTCGCCTGGATATAAGGTGAGCTGGGGGAATGTGGAATGACTCAAAGAGACTTGGACTTACCATATGTCGCATGAAGCTCTACAAGCTTCAAGGATAAACTGCCATTTTCCCAGAGATCAAGATAAGCCTGCCACCAGAGAGACGCTGCTGCAAGCTTCGGTCCTGGAAAGCGGGAGAGCGGATGGAAGTACACATTGTATACGGCTTTCAAGAGCGAATAGAGGCACACAAGGGCAGTTGCCCATGGTGCGTACGCTCGCAAGGTGGAGAGAAAGTCCATCTTCACAAGTACAGTCGCCGTGAGTGACTTAGGTGATTTCAAGGCCATGTATATCTCCCTCGACCTTTGTACAAGGATGAGCGGCAAGGAATGTCTTCTCTATCAAACCTAGGAAGTTTGTTGGTAGCTTATTTTTCCATCAATATGAAATAAGGAAGACGCAAAAGAGTTTAGATTGCATGTGCCTCAGCAGCTGACAGCTAAGCTGTCTCCACATTCACGTACAACAGGAAAGCCCTGGATGCATACACGCGCGCTATAGATACGAACAACTCAGCAAGCACAAAGAGATCGCTGACGCACCCACGCCACATTGACTTTTTGACTCAACAGGTTGCGCAGATCGTGGCACTAGAGATCAAGCTATCCACTGGCCACCCTGTGAAATAGATCCTGAAAGGGAAGCCCGCGACATTGCAGGCGCGAAACTTGAAATGGGTATTTTTCGGCTGAATCTAGCAAGTACAGAGTCGGAGGCAAGAAATGAGGCAGGAGGCAACACGTCAGCTGAAAGCATGAGTGTAATGTGGCTCACCATGCTGTTCGGTGCCGTCAGTCTCCAAGCTGTGGTATTGGAACTCGACTCAACGGCCATACAAAGTGGATGTTATCAGCCGCGAGTATAGCCGTCATAGAAGATGACAGAGTGAGACGAAGTCCATTCTCCTCGGTCTAAGGCGCTCGGCCGGACGAGCTCAACGCGCTTAGCTATCTGCTTTTGACCAACACTTCGAGATTTAGTACTTTTAGTTCGCAAATGCCTGCCACTGGCCACCAGTATCCCTTCCGTAATAGTACCGCGTTTCTCTTACAAAGCCATGACATGATGCCGACTCTATTGTTCGAGGCTCGCCTTACGTATCCACCAGTGTGTGACAGAATATGCAGCAACTCGGAGCGCGACCTTGTCAGCCCTGCTATACTAGCTTCCAACTTTCTTGGACACCATGTCGTCAACGACTCCTATATTCCTCATTGACACAACCAGTACGTTGTTCAAGCAGCTACACCAGCCGCAATCCGACATGTCAAGCTCTGTGCAGGGCATATTGACACGACCGTCCTCTGCCGCCTGCTAGCGCTCATACATCCGAGTGTGAATACACTCGACATCACCGTGCTGTGATCCAAGGAGAAGGCAGAGAAGTTCAGGTCGTTTGGGGCGA